TAGCATCTGTTGGCCATTACAATCCTTCTCCGAATTTCAAAACTGATATTATTCGTTTTATTTATGGCGGTACCAAGGTATATAAAGTCTTTAACTACCTCGAAGCTGTAGTTCTCAAGTTCCACAGTTGGTCCGAGGCTACTGGACGTCTTGCGCGTTGATACCATCAGCTTGGTCTTCTCGCCGTTTACTGCCAGACCCACTTTGGCAGACTCCTTTTCAATTTGTTCAAAGGTGGCTGTTACCACTCGCAATGTTCGACGCATTATATCGATGTTATCGGCGTAGGCGAGTAACTGATGTTGTTTGGTGTACAGAGTGCCATTTCTGTTCACCTTTGCGTCTCGTATGACCTTTTCCAGTAGGATGTTAAAAAGATCACACGACAAACTGTCACCTTGTCTGAATCCTCGTTCGGTATTGAAGGGCTCCGATAGGTCCTTTCCTACTTTAACGGCTGACCTTGTGCCACTTAAAGTTATCCTGCATAGCCGTATTAATTTTGCAGGAATGCCGAACGCAGACATGGCTTTAAACACCTCTGAACGGATAGGGCTGTCGAATGCGGCTTTATAGTCGACAAATAAGTGGTATGTGTCGATGTGTTTTTCGTGGGTCTTTTCCAGGATTTGGCGCAGAGTGAAAATCTGGTCAATGGTTGATTTGCCAGGTCTGAAGCCGCATTGGTATGGTCCGATGATGTCATTGACCATTGGCTTCAATCGTTCACACAGCACACTGGATAGCACTTTATATGTGATGGGAAGGAGACTTATTCCTCCTGCATGTACGCTACACCTTTAAGTTCAATGCCTTGTAGGAGTTGCATTGAATGAGATAGCTGGCAAATGTAGAAGGGCTTCGATGTCTTAATAAATTTCTTCTCAATCACAAACAAAATTCAGAACGTTCGAAGTACATAAAATAAAAACAACTCATGTTTTATTTACGGAATGGGGTACATACTTTGACAGTTACACGATTTCCGTATTAAAATCGAAGTACATTCTCGACAAGGTGGCCTGTAAGCAGGACAGAGGAACAACAATGGAATTCTAACGTTATATTAGGCCTTCAGCCTCTAAACAGAAACGTTTTTAAACTGAAGATATCAAAGTGAAAATGGAGCGATAACACATTTTCCTGTGCCCTAACAAAGGAGAGCCGAATGAAATCTATCTGAAACGACTCAAAAAATGACTCATTATGTGTCCTATTTCAACTTAGTGAGGCGTATTGGATATTGAATGAAATGCAGGGATAAACTATATCAGTGTCTATACTTCAAGAGCATAACTAAAAAGGCATAAAAACAAAACTCAAAAAATTCAGCTTGAGCCCGTCTGGGGTTTGAACCCTGGTTCCCATGGCATCTGTCGAGGTCCGCCGCCTTAGCGTTCAAAGCCACCTCCTTATCTTACTAAGGTTGCACAATATGCAGATGCATACCATTGAAGAAAAAATATTGTAGCCTGTATGGAAAAAAAATCCGTCACTACAAGAAAAATCTGCTCTGCAAAGGAATGTTCTGGTGTGATGCCAAATGTCCGAACCTTGACACGGTTGAATTTAATTCGTAGATGCAATTTCGCAACAATAGTCGATATAAATACAACTTTTCAAGTAAAGTCATTTGTAAGCCACATTGCCCAATATGTCTGATAAGCCGCTTAACCAACGGCGAAACGCGTCACATAGTGGTGGGAATGTAGTATCTCTCTGGATTTCCTTTTCATTGCAACTCCGATCATGTAGCTCATCTCGAAAGATAAATTAATAAAAATGATGGTAAAGTCTGTGAAGACAAGTCACGGCCTTATTTTGGTTTCTGTCCGTATTATCAGGATGTGGATTCCATTAATATATCGCAATCAAATGCTGACGAAATAGTTTATCGAATTGAAGCATCTTCGAATATACAATTATTTCTATATCAATTTTTATCTTCCATTAAAAATCTGTACCGAATGTTCGTACTACTCAGAAAAGATCGCTATGGTTCTTAATCGATATATATTTGGAGGTGATCTGCCCAACATATTATACTGGTGATATGCAGATGATGGCACGATCGAATTGATGCAATCATCTGCATACGTAACGTACTCTGAACGACGTGAAATATGGGATATGAGATCAAAGATTTCACATCACTCTTGGGAAATTCCTGTTTAATTTTACGGCCTTTGAACTTTTTGTTTCAGAATTTCGAAACTACAAATATTATCCAACGTGTCGAACGTGGCCGAGGGAAATATTTTCGAAGGCCTGAAAAAATGTGGCACAAATTTCGGTATGGATTACCACATTCACCTGTTTCAGCGCTACCATAGATTTCCCACTTGACGCTCTTAAAATATAAGCCATCGTAAACTTTTGTACCTCCTCGGTAGTAAGAGATCGTATACATTGTATGTCTTTCACCGTTGTATTGTTAAAATTGATAAAGCTCCTATCCTCCGTTCATTTACTTTGCTAATCATCCGTGATTAATTTACTGATCTGCAGCCTAATTTCCTAACTCTGAGATCCAGCTATTTCAGCTGGATGTACGGTATGTACGGTGTGTTGGAAATTTACCAGAATGAATGGACCAATGGGTTCCATCTTACAGAAATTTTTAAATATTGGCAAAAGTTTCAGCAGGGTATCCACCATACACCGGTACTTCATTATTCGGTATTTTGGAAACATTTTCCAATCGAATCTAAGGTTGGTTCTTATAGTATGACAAATCTGTCTCCCCAATTTCATGGTAGAAACGCTACCTTCCAACCTTTAGTATTTTGCACAGCTTGGGTACATTTTTTAATCGAATCGACTCTAATTTGACATTTTTGGGTCACACTGTCTTACAAAAAATTATCAATACGTTTTAACGTAATTTTACGTAATTGGTTGTAATTTGGGCGCATAATGTATAGTCAAGCTCCGTATTAAAATAATATATAATTGTCGAAGTAACGGCAACTGAAAAATATTCGGTATTTTGGACACGTTTCCATCGGAATTAGTTTTAATTTGGTATTTTGGGTTCTTGGTGTATAACCATCCTCTCTACTAAAGATTAATAATATTGACTCAAGATTCGGGGTAGCAGCTACATAACAGCAGCCCCCAATATTCGGTATTTTTATGGTAGTTTGGGTTCTCAATGTATAGCCAACTAAGGTTATGTCGTCTCGGAATTTTAAGTTATTAATTATTGTATTATAATAATAAATGTAGATTTAAGATGAAAATCACCCTAATGTATTTTAATAACTTCAATATTTTCTAATATTTATTTTTTTCTCTTTCTATTTTCAGTGTAAAAATTTGTGTATAAAAAATATTTCTTAGTTATTACAAAAAAATTCATAAATTAATTAAAAAACAGCGATCGAAGACGACAACCCTTCATCTAATAAATCATCATCAAATTATCGACAAAAAAATGCAAATATTCATTTAAAAATACATAGTTAAGTGTGTGAGAAACAGCTGATCCGATTTACCAAATCAGCTGTTGTGTCTAAGAAACAGTTGATTCAATTCCAAAGTCAGCTGTAGTGCCCAAAATAACAGCTGATATTGTGTCAAACAAACAAAAGTCAATTTTTGTATAAAAAAAGTAAATTTGTCGTTGTAATTATTATCTCTAAACGTCATTCGTTGTCGTCGCCGTTATCGCTCACACGTCGTCATTGTATTCAAAAATACTACTTAGCGTCGTCGTTTGTCGTCATCAATGTCATCGTCATTTGAGTAAATAAATCAGCAAACATCCAAACATCATATATTGTGTAATTTATTTCTGTGTATAAAAATAAAAACAAAAATTGAAATTTTTTAAAAATAAAATAATTTTTAAGTGTAAATTACAACAACAACACATAATTTAAAAAAATAAAAACCCGAAACAACAACGATTCAAAATACCGGTGAATGAAAAACAAATTTTCAAGCGGTCGGAACTAGCGCGAAGTTTTTTTTAAATCGTCGCCCTCGTCTATATCAGAATCTAACGCGTATCGTCCGGCATTCATTTGAGAATTTGGTGAAAAGTGAAAACCTCCGGTTTGTCTTGTGTAAATTTAATTGTGTAAAAATTCAAAACTCAAATCTCTGAACTTTCCACGCTCGTTTTGAACGAAGTGTGTGTACAAAGTTATACAGATCGTATCGGTCATTTAAGAACAACAACAACATTTGCAACAACAATTGTGTATTATAGATAGGATTATCAAACAACAACCACAACAAAAAGTCTGATTGTCTCCAAAAATTAAAACAAACAACAACAAAAAAGCTAAGAATTTTTTGAAGAAGAACAGCAGCTCCCCACATTTTTCCCGAGGATACTCCTAAGCATCAATTTTGACACACACAAGAAGAGCCCAAACTCTCAAGCAGCATCCCGCATTTTGCTACATAAGAAGAAGAGGAAGAAGTCTCATAAATTCCATTTCATCTCCTCTCTCTCCACCCAACGGTATAAAAGAACGGCCTCAAAATAGAGCTGCTATCGACTCCGTCTATTTCCTTTGCCCCCATTGAGTCCACGGTGTCTGCATCGGCCCACTACAACACACCGCCCTCCTACTACCACCATCAGCCGGCGTCCTCAACATCTGTGACGGCGGCAGCAGCAGGCTCATCTACATCAGCAGTGGTGGCGGCAGCATCCACCTCAGCAGCATCGTCTTCATCCTCGACTGTAACGGGATCCGGAGCAGCGGTGGCCGCCACAGCAACAGCATCATCCACATCGGCGGCGTCAGCCAATAACAGCAGCAATCTGCAGCATCAACAGCGACACTCATTTCAAAATTTCCTTTTGACTTCGTCATCACCTTTAGCAACTTCTTCGTCGCCGTTGTCGAATCCGCAGCAACAACAACAGCAGCAGCAACAACATCCCCAACAACAGCTGCCACCACATCCCCAACAACAACAACAGCAGCAGCAGCATCAAAACTACATCCAACACCAAGAGCAACAACATCATTATCAGCAACAGCAGCAACAACAACATCAGTATCTGCAGCACCAACACCAGCAGCAGCAACAACAACAGCAGCACCAACAACAACTCACACACATGAAGTTATTGGGCGGTAATGATGATAGAAGCATGCGCGGCATCGATCAATCCATACCGCGTAACAACGAGGATGCTGCCGCTGCGGCAGCTATAAGCTATGTTTTTCCCCGCCCCTCTCCGGGTGGTATGGCTCCCGGTATGGGCTCTGCAGCGGGTAATGTCCATGATGCTGCTGCCGCGGAATATGCGGCACAATTTGCCCAGAAACAGGCTCGCTGGGCCTGTGGCGATGAACACACCATTGATGTAAGTATTAATTTCTATGTAATTCTAGGCTATTATGCTCGGCTGGACCCTAAAAAATATAAAAAAAATTAGGATTTTAGATACCGAATAGTAGACATTGGAAAACCGACGACTCTGTTATGGTCAGCCAAGGCTGTTCTGCCTAGTAGTAGTATTGTTCTTTATATTATGTATGATGTTAATGGTCAGGACACCGGTTCGGTCACTAACGTCAGATTGGTCGAGCTGTAGTAGAATATAATAAGGAAATAAGCTATTGTAATAAGATGATTATCGAATACTAATTGATATTGTAAAATGCAATCATGTTACGACGCATGACGCTTAAAATCTAATACTATCATCGATTATCAATAATCGTCCACTTTTTTTAACGTGCTTACTCAGCTGACTTGTGACGGGGCGGTAATATCATATGCTGAGCTTAAAAAAGATTTCCAAAAAGATTCCAAGCGCGTCGGTCTTGTGCTCAGCTGATCCAATTTGAAAGACCATGTTCCGAGATGTTGTCTTCTACATGATCTTTCCATCGAATTCGTGGCCATCCCCTTCTGCATGAACCATCAATTGGCTCGCTTTTATATGACTTTTGTACTGGGGCAACCTCATTAATTCTCACAACATGACCTAGCCAACGTAGTCGCTGCAGTTCGTTACGTCTGTCAATGCCAATATCCGAGAATAGACTTACAAGTCATGGTTCATTCACCATCGATGCAGATCGGCCCATTGATCTTCCGGAGAATTTTTCTCTCAAACACACCAAGAGCTGCCTCACCTGCTTGCGCAAGTATCATGGTCTGGTGAGAGGTGACCTTGCTTTTGAGTTGATTACTCAGATCGGATTTCAAAGCTGATGTTATTAGTTTTGTTTATGGCGGTACCGAGGTATATAAAATCGTTCACTACCTCGAAGCTGTAGTTTTCAAGTTCCACAGTGGAAGTTTTGCGCGTTGATACCATCAGCTTGGTCTTCTCGCCATTTACTGCCAGTCCCACTTTGACAGACTCCTTCTCAATTCGTTCAAAAGGTGGCTGTTACGGCTTGCAATGTTCGACATATCATTCTGTTTGGTGTACAGAGTACTATTTCTATTCACACGGCAAACTGTCACCTTGTCTGAAATGCCGTTCGGTATGAAGGGCTCTGAGAGGTCCTTTACCGACTTTAACTGCTGATCTTGTGCCAGTTAAAGTTATCCGTATTAATTTTGCAGGAAACATCTCTGAGCGGATAGAGCTGTCGAATGCGCCTTTATAGTCGACGAATAGGTGGAATGTGTCGATGTGTTCTTCGTGGGTCTTTTCCAGGCTTTGACGCAGTGCAAAAATCTGGTCTATGGTGGATTTGCCGGGTTTGAAGTTGCATTAGTACGGCCCAATAATGCCATTGGTCATTGCACTTTACATACGATGCGAAGGAGACTGAGGTTCCAATCATTGAGCATGTCCAAATGGTCCGCATTTGCTGCTGCCTGCTCCTGACCAGCATCTGACCACCGGTATTGAATAGTTCGGTTGGTAATCCATCGGTTCTTGCTGATTTATTGTTCTTCAGCCGATTAATTGCTCTACTCTGACCTCATCTAGCTGGCTAGGGTATATCCAATGGTTCTGGGGTATCTTCTTCACCGCCACTATTTGATACCAGAAGCTTTTCAAAATGTTCTTTCCAGATCTTTAACACGCTATCTGTGTCTGCACCAAAGTCTTCGGTTTGGTGTTTTACTCGTTGGTAAAATTTCGGACTTCAGTTTGACTACTATACATCTCGATTTTCTCACGCTCACGTTTTTCTTGTTCTTTGTTATTTTTTCTGAATACACGATAATTCTTCATCACGTTACGTGTTGCTACTGTCTGCAGGGTTGCCCTATACGCTGCGTTTTTCACATCAGTAGCATTACGACACTCCTGATCGTACCATGGATTTCTTGATGGTGGTTTTTGGTACCCAAGTGTTGCTTTTGCTGCAGTTTGTATGGGACAAGAAGTGCTTTCGTCAAGCAGGTGGCTAAGTTGAGCGGAGTAGGCTTCTGTTATCTGTTGTGTTTACAGTATTTCGGCATCGAGTATCCGTGCTACATTAGATCGCACCTTTGCAGCTACATTAAGACGGGTTCGAACCTGGGCTGCCTCGTATCGATCGAACGTCTAAAACAATGGACGAATTACTTCTGTCTATCACAACATGGTCAATTTTATTTCCCGTTGCTTGATCGGGAGAAATCCAGTTGACCTTGTGTATATCGAGATGCTTGAATCTAGACTTTGCTGTCGCGAAGTCAATCAACCTCATGCAGTTGTCGGATGTTTCTTCATGGAGGTTAAATTTTCCGACGGGTTTCCGATTTTTGCATTAAAAATCATGGTCAGGACAGCGGTCATATGCTGTTTCTAGGCGCTCGTCTTTTGTATGTTCATCTCTGTCTTCCGTCGTAGCATGGGCGTAAATTAGACTGATGTAGAAGAACTTGGCTTTTATACGGATTATAGCAATTCGCTCATCTTCTGGAGTGAATCTGGAGACGAGGTGTTTTATTCCTCGATTTCCTATCATGTTCATACAAGGTTCACCACGTTCATGTTTCCCTGAGTCTCAGAGAACTCATTGTTCGCTGGAAACTAATCAAAATGTTCAGGGATTTTTATTATATTGAAGAATAAATGGGGTCTCTCAGGGTTTTCTAAAAGGTATGACATGTAGAAGATTGGGTAAATTTCAGTGTGAACAGTCTTAGACCAGAAAACCTTCTTCAATTCTTCTTGAGACAGAAAACTGTTTTCTTCAGGCCGGAGATATTTTACAGGACTTCTATAGACAGAATATCTTGTCAAAAGATATCCAGGGACTTTAGTGGACTATTTACCTAAAATCGGGCGAAGCTATATATGGGAGCTATATGTAAATCTGGACCGATTTTCTCAAAACTTTTCACACATCATTCTAGATTTAATTCAGTACACTATGCCAAAATTCGTGCAAATCAAAAGATTTCCAGGGACTTAAGTGGACTATTTACCTAAAATCGGGCGAAGCTATATAAGGGAGCTATATCTAAATCTGAACCGATTTTCACGAAACTGCACAAATCATTCTAGACTTAATTTACTTTGTTGTGCTAAATTTCGTGCAAATCGAAAGATATATAGGGACATTGGTGCACCATTTACCTTAAATCGGACGAAAATATATATGGGAGCTATATCTAAATCTGACCGATTTTCACGAAATTTGGCAGACATCACTCTAGGCCCAATTCAGTACGTTGTACCAAATTTCGTGCAAATCGAAAGATATATAGGAACTTTGGTACACCATTTACATTAAATCGGACGAAAATATATATGGGAGCTATATCTAAATCTGAACCGATTTTTCCCAATTTAAATAGGGTTCGTCCTTGGGCTAAAAAATTAGCTGTGCCAAATTTCATCCAATTCGGATCATAAATGCGACCTGTACTTTGCTCACAAAAATACATGGACAGAAAGACAGACAGACGGACGGACATGCTTAAATCGACTTAAAAAGTGATTCTATGCATATTCTCAAAACGAACCATGGGTCTAACTCGTTTCCTTTTGCCTGTTACAAACATATGCACAAAGACATAATACCCTGTATCACAGTGTGGTGAAGGGTATAAAAATAATTGTTTTGGAAACTTCCATCTCTGTTATGAAGCCATGAAACGGGTGTTCAAAAAAGACGCATCCGCAATTTTTTTACAATGAAAGTACGGATTTCTAATTTTTCCATTGTATACAATTGCGGATGCGTCTTTTTTGAACACCTGTTTCTACATGAAGGAGTTGCCTGATCGTCACAAAAGCATTAAAAAGTCTACATTTAGCCTCAGGGACCTTGAAAACAATTCTTTAAAAAAGTTCACGCTATTTGGGCTCATATTACACCGAGGATCCTTGAAATATTATTCTTTAAAAATTCAAGCTTATTGTTCCCATAGTCCCTGGAAATCCTATTATTATCTTAAAAAATATTCTTTAAAAAATCAACGCTAATTATCAGGCTCAGGGCCCTTGAAAAATTATTATGTGAGTCCTTGATAAAGTTTTCCCTAAAATCCCAAAACTATTAGGGGCCTTGAAAAATGATTTTTTTTTTTTAATCCAGGCTTATTTATCGGGAGGTCCTTGAAAATGTATTCTTTAAAAATACTGGACTCAGGTTTCTTTAAAAAAAAAATATGCATTGGAAAATCCACTTTGGCTGGAGTGCAGACTTTTTGCCTTTGAAAACATTTGATATTGAATTTCAATAGGAACTTTGTAATTAATTTCATTTTCTTATGAACTTTGGAGAATATAAGTCGGTCTAGAAAATGTAATTATTTCCTTGAAAAAAAATCATATTTGGATTTATTTCTAATTTTGTTTTTAATTTCCCGTCTTTTTTTCAGAACCCCGACAAATGGAAATACAATCCACCCATGAATCCGGCAAATGCCGCCCCTGGTGCTCCACCTGGCGGAGGCCCGGGAGCCATTGGTCCCATTGGTATGGGCGGTGGTATTGGTAGTATGGGCACAAATGGCGGTCTCCACCCATCCATGGGTGGCCCTAATCAAATGGGTAACTCTGCAGCAGCTGCCGCAGCAGCCGGGATGGCTGCCATGCAACAAGCGGCCGCTGTTGCCAAACATAATCAAATGATGTCTCAAGTCGCCGCTGCGGCTGCCCAACATCATCAACAGCAGCAACAACAACAGCAGCAGCAACAACAACAACAGCAGCAACAGCAACCTCCACATCCAGCTCATCAACAGCCACCGCATCCCCAGCATCAGCAGCATGGTCCACCGCATCCCTCACAAATGCAATCGCATCAATTCAATTCGAATCTTTTGAATCATGCCATGAATAATCCGGCAGCTGCGGCTGCAGCCGCTGCCGCCATAGCAGCCGGTATGCCACATATGCCATTGCCACCGAATATGCAGGCGGCAGCAACTGGAAATATGTACGATCATCCGGGTGTGCACCCGGGTGTGGGTATGAATGGTGTCGGGGTGCCGAAACCACCGCCACCCGGTCAACCGGGTCCCGGGGAATTGGTCTATTTGGGTGGACAACCACATGCCGCCGCCGCTGCAGCGGCCATGGGTATGATGCCACAAAATCAATATATGAATAATCAAGCTGCCGCAGCGGCTGCCGCTTCAAGGAATGCAGCAGCGGTAAGTAGACAAATTTTGAAAATTTTTTTTTTGGTTTTTTTATGGCTCGAAAAATTTAGAATTTTTTTAAAGAGTTTTGGGAAAATAATTTTTTTAAATTAATTAATTTAGGATAAATTTACTTAGAAAATACCCATTTGTTCCCTATTTTTTTAAAAGTAAACATTTCTCTATCAGATACCATATACGTTCTGAAGAACACATGCATGTACGTACATGCCATGCAATATGGGCTTCTTCAGGTATGCTTATTTCTTTGCCTTCTCTCCGCCCTTCCCCCCCGCCATGCATTCATTCGTCTGTGCATAGTTTCAGTTTCTCTCAGATTCTTGAAACAAAACTTTTCATTTTCATTCTTTTGTCTGGATGTGAATGCCTGAATGCCAACCGAACCCCTCCGCGCTCCTCAGCTTCAGCCTTTGAACAACTGGATGGCTGGTTGGTTGTTGTGGTGTGGTGGCACAAACATTCTCATCCATTCAGCTAGTCATCCAGCCAACCATCCATGCAAAAATCGCAAGTTGTGGCACCGGTCTTCTTCAGTTTTAGTTGGCCTGGCTGCACCGACTACTTTGGTCTGGTCTGGATCTGAAAAAGAAAAAATGCTGGCGCAAAAAAAAATGCTGTAAATGAATGCACGACAGCAAAAGGAATGAAAGAAATTCACAAACAGACAAAAATTAAAAAAAAAAAAAGAAAACCATGTTGTTGCTGTTCTTGTTTTGTGGTTGTTCTTCTTTGTGTGGATATGGTCGGACAGACGGACTCTCAACCCCTTTTCAATTCAATTCCATCAACACAATTATGGACACGTGAAACTGGGACTGTGACTAGAGAATGAAAAAAAACAAGAACAACCTATAATGAGCTTTTGTAATGTGTTGATATTGCCAGTCATCATCATCATTACCATCCGCGTCGTCCTTTTTGACTTTGTCTTCGCCAAACGATTTTTTGTGTCTCTTAGAAAAACAAGTTTTGGAATTTTTATTTTTTTGTGAAACTATTATTTTCTGTCTACTTACTTAGCTGGCTTTTTACAGCACGGTTGTTCCATTAGACGAGCTTAAAAAAGATTTCCAAGCGCGTCGGTCTTGTGTGCATCTCCTCCAATTTTAAAGACCACGTTCCAATATGTTGTTTTGTAGTTGGTCTTTCCATCTAATTCGTGGCCTACCCCTTCTACGGGAACCATCAGTAGGCTCGCTTTTATATGCCTTTTGAGCTGGGGTATTGTCATTCATTCGCACAACATGGCCTAGCCACCGTAGTCGATGCAGATCAATACGACTGTCGATGTCCACGTATAAATTGTAAAGCTCGTGGTTCATTCGACGCCGATATTCACCGTCGACGCAGATCGGCGAATTTTTCTCTCAAACACCCCAAGAGCTGCCTCATCTGCTTGCGCAAGTACCCATGCTTCAGATCCATATAACAGCACTGGTAGTATCAGCGTCTTGTAAAGTGCGAGTTTGATCTGGCGGGATGTGGCCTTGTTTCTACACCGCTTACTTAGACTATAGTAGCATCTGTTGGCCATCACAATCCTTCTCCGAATTTCAATACTGATGTCGTTTTATTTATGGCGGCACCGGGGTATATAACATCTCTGACTACCTCGAAGCTGTAGTTCTCAAGTTCCACAGTTGGTCCGAGTCTACTCGATGTCTTGCGCGTTGATACCATCAGTTTGGTCTTCTCGCCATTTACTGACAGACCCATTTTGCAGGCTCCTTCTCAATTTGTTCAAAATGTGGCTGTTACCGCTCGCTATGGTCGACCCATTATATCGATGTCATCGACCTAGGCGAGTAATGTAGTGTTAAAAAGATCACACGACAAACTGTCACCTTGTCTGAAATCTCGTTTGGTATTGAAGTGCTCCGATAGGTTATTTCCGACTTTAATTGCTGATCTTGTGGCAGTTTAAGTTATCGTGCTTAGCCGTATTAATTTTGCAGGAATGCCGAACGCAGACATGACTTTAAACACCTCTGAACGGATAGGGCTGTCGAATGCGGCTTTATAGGTGTACGAATATGTGGTATGTGTCGATGTGTTTTTCGTGGGCCTTTTCCAGGATTTGGCGCAAAGTGAAAATCTGGTCAATTGTGGATTTCCTAGGTCTGAAGCCGCATTGGTATGGTCCAAAAATGTCATTGACCATTGGATTCAGTCGTTCACACAGCATGCTGGATAACACATTGTATGTGATGGGAAGGAGACTTAATCCTCTATAGTTGTCACATATCGTCTTGTCTCCTGTTTTGTGCACGGGACACAGGATGCTGAGGTTCCAATCATTGGGCATGCATTCCTCCAGATTGTACTTATAAGCTGGTGCATGCTCCTGACCAGCATCTGACAATCAGTATGGAATAGTTGGGCTCGTATCGCATCTGCACCTGCTCCTTTATTATTCTTCAGCCGATTGTTTGCTATTTTGACCTCATCTTGGCTGGGTGGTATACACTCTATACCGTCATCTCTTATTGGTTCTGGGGTATCTTCTTCACCGCCACTATTTGATACCAGACTCTTTTCAAAATGCTCCCTCCAGATCCTCAACACGCTATCTGTATCTGTCACCAGGTTTCCTTCTTTATCTATAAAGTGCATGCACCGAAGCCTTTGCTTTGGTCTTTTACTCGTTGGTAAAATTTCCGCACTTCATTGCGACTCCTGTACATCTCGATTTGCCACGCTCTCGTTTTTCTTTTTTTAAATACATTTCTCCTCTCTCTTTTTCTCCGGATAATTCTCTCTCACCGATAATTCTCCATTACATTACGTGTTGCTTTTGCAGCAGTTTGTAGGGAGTGGACAATTCTTTGCCATTGTGCTCTATAATATTATCGGGCAAGAAGTACAGGTGGGTAAGATGAGCGGAGTGGGCTACCTGTTGTGTTTGCAGCTTTTCGACGCGAACCTTGCCTACTACAAGGCAGTGGTACTAATCGATATTCGCTCTTCGGATTGATCAAACGTCGAAAACACTGGATGAATGCCTTCCGTCTATCACAACATGATCGATTTGATTTTTCGTTGTTTTATCGGGAGAAATCCACGTGGTCTTTTGAAATTATATCGTTGAAATTCTGATGTTTGAAATTCATAATTTTCAATTGAAATTAAAAATATTTCTCTTCCGAAAATTTTTGCATTAAAATTCTTAACATTTGAATTATAATTTCATAACATTCCGTTTGTTTTTCAAAACATTTAATTTTAAATTCCAAAAAATTTATTGGTCACAAAAAGGGAATCATTGTTGAAATGAATTGTCACAATACCTCATGAAATTTTATGAATTACAAGTAAAATGTTATGAATTTCAAATTGTGTTCTCTTGAATTTCAAATGGATTTCTTTGAATTTGAGGTTGAAATTCAAATTGAAATTTCGCTTTGAAATTTTTTAAATTTCAAATGTAACTTTTTGAATTTCATACGAAAAGTTTAAAATTACAAATGAAATGTTGTGAATTACAAATTACATACTTGCCGCTCTGTCGGTGGATTCTCGTGTCAGTCTCAGTTATTTGACTTGACATTGCCTCTGTTTCACTTCGGCTCATTACCAGATCTTACTGTCACCCGACAGTTCCTGAATGTTCCTGTTTGTATTCCCAGACTTTACGAAAACATCCGAGACTGAGTTTACCTTCTGATCTCTGCAGTCTCGTTTAGCTGGGGTTATTTCTGCCTTCTCTTTGTCTCTTTGCCATTGCTTGGCTGTTCCTCTTGAGATTTCCAGGCATTACAGAAGGTTCCAAAGTTGATCACCTCTTCGTGATGCTAGAGCCAGCTTATAGTTCAAATGGTAGTATTTTAGGCTATGGAAACATGCAGAAGTTAGTCTGTGCACTTGATGGAAGGGTAGAAGTTTCGGCCATAAAGCTGGGCAGAACCTATAGTCTGTGTCAGAACAGTCCCGGTCTGTTTGGAGTTCTACTTGAAATAGCTTCGGATATGAACCCGACTAAGGTTCCCGGTAGCACGGGTGTCAGGGCCTCTATGTCTGCGGATCTAGCCTGGCAGTTGGTGTTGGTCCTTCGGGGAACATCGTACTGGAGTTGATTTACACCTAAATCGCGGTTAGAGTTGCATTACCTTGTTTTAGGTGGGCTTCGCACCAGTTAATACAAAGGATCCACTTTGTACTAACAGTTTCCTTTGACTTGGGATTGACTCTGCCTTCTCACGGATCCTTGCAGTCTTCTTCTTCTTTTTTTACCTCCAGTTGTTTTTATTGCATTCTTATTTCTTTACGGAAGATTTCGAAGCTGCACTCGTCTTCGTGACAATAGAGTCAGCTTTGTCGGCCTCTGTGGATGAATTCTCGAGGTAATCTCTTTTGATTTGACTGATTGATTGATTGGTGTTGTCCGGTTGTTCCCGTTGTGATTTCCCGACATTGTCAACAATTTTGAAGCTACGCTCGTCTTCTTGACACAGAGCCTCTCTGTCGTTGAATTATCACCGTAGACGTGGGGTTAACTCTTTGGCTCGACTTTATTTATCTTTCTTCTTCAGTTATTACTTCGAATGGTAGTAACTTCAGCTATGAAGCAGATGCAGAGTCTATGAGAATATAATTTTATATATCTGCTCTCCTGGATATATAATTCTCTTTACAGCTTATGAGGAATTGAATCGATAGTCAGGGGTTTCCTTGGGATTCCTAGACATTACAGAAGATTTCTTAATAATAGATTCAGCATTGCAGCCATTTGTCGACCGGTTATCGTGGCAGCCTTCTTTTACTTCGGGTTCCAAATCAGGGGAAGCTCTTTCTGGCAGTTTTGGCATTGGTCTGATCTTTCGGAGAAGTAATCCTCTTCGTCGCTCTGAAGGAAGAGGGGGGAATAACCATGTGTTGGGATTCCTGGACATTGTGGAGAATTCCAAGGCTTCTTCATACTTGAACTAGCCTCTTTCAATTGATTCTCATGAAAGTTACCTATGACTTGGGGTATCAAATGAAGGAAGCTCTTT